TGGAGAAACAGGTAAGCTCTGTGGTTACACCAAGTATGCACTGATACTCATGCAAACATACCCACAGTATTGGCTTAAAGTGCTGGCTATAAGAACAAACCATTAAGTTGTTTTATTTATTTGGATGAGAAGCATCATGTCAACTTCATGCCTGGTATGAATGGGAGTCAACCTTCACGCATGCATATCTGATTATAAAGCAAATAACAGCTTACGGTGCCTTTCAGCCCTGATCTGGATCACCTATTTTATTACAGTATTAATCTTGTTGCCAGAAATAGCCTTCTGAGAGGTGAACATACTGATGGTCTGGTGTCCTGTACAGCCAACATCTCTTAACACAAGATCAATAAAATTATTTTCTGTATCTCCAGAGGTGAAAAAAAAAAACCCCAAAAAACCTATGCCAAAAATCCTCACTTCTGCTAAAGCTATTAAGCAAATACAAAAATGTTGAAGACTTACCATTACCAAACTCTACAAAATGTTTATTAGCTTGATTACCTGCTCAACTCAAAGACCAATGATTTAATTTTGCTGCCCTATTTGTATATTTGTAAAACAAAACTTGTGATAGTCCTAGTAAATCATAGTCCTCCAACAACAGTTTTTACAGGTTTTTTTCATAGTACAGTTAAAGCTATGACCAACATACAATAAATGTTGAAACAGTATTAGGCTGTGGACTGTTCTAGTAGACTCCATCTGCTCCAGTAAACCCACTCTAAGTTTTGATGCCATATGACTTTGTCAATGCAGTTATGTCTTGGTAACTGCATCAAAACTCTTTGGTCAAGCATTCAGTAACACTACACTTCCATAATCATCTACTCTCTATGTATATTGTTAGAACAAAACTTTTTGTAGTAATACATAAACTGTTTAAAATGCTGTCAAACTACTATAAGTACTTCACTTGGAAAAAAAAGAGCACTGGACTACAAAGTAGTGGGTGTCACTTTTCCAGAAGCATTATTAATGGGGACTATTTTAGTCTTCAGTGATGGGGAACGACAGGCTGTAGCGTTTCTTCAAGTTAAGAATAGAAAATAACTGTACTTGCAAGAATTCAATTACTCTGCATTAAAGACGCCATGGGGTTACTGTACATTTATACATCAGAAAGTCAGTAAATTATTTTTCTATAAATTAGTCTCTCAAAGTTGACTTTTTTTCTTTCTGTTCTGAATGCCAAACTCCTGACTGCTTCTCCACCACAGAGACTTCATATCTGGATAGCCGACATCTGTAAAAACATTTCTAATGAAAACACTACTAATACAACCCCCTGGAGAAACAAATGAAATGAGATCTAAGTATGCAGCCGCCTTTCTACAGTTCTGTCTTTAACAATAGCGGGGCTAGTGCTTCCTATCCAAGACTTGACACAGGTCATGATCATTTAGGCACAGTAGTAGCAAAATAAATAATTGTGTAAATATGTAAAAACTGGTATAAATACTTCAGTAGCACTTAGAAGATATGATAAAGGACTTCCATCTTTAGTTGTGCATTAACGTTTATCTCGGTGGATGGAAGGGAGAAGCATTTAAACTGCAGTGAAGGAGAAGTATGGATCGAATACATGAAAGCTCGGTGCCAGACATAACATTGCTTCTTTTCTGCAACAGCAGTTTTGAAAATGTATTAGTGTTAAAAGTGTTGGATAACTGCTAAAATATTATAGAAACAGTGGTTACAGCTTCACCCCAAAAAACAATACACTGGAAAGATCAATAATGTAACTATGTATTTAAATAATCCCAATACAAAGCAAAACAGTGCTGTCTTATTTTTAAAATAATTTGTCATATTTTTTTCATAATGCATTCCACTGCTTAAGTAAATAAGAATGTAGAGACATTTTTTCTGATAAACAGTCTAACAATTAATAGGGGAAAAAAGGTCCATTTCTTTGGAACAGTTCTCTAAAATCTTAGCTGATGGTCCATATCAAAGTGTATAAACATATTAACTCCAGATTTGCTGCCTTACTTTTAAACCTGTACTAAACTGAGGCAACTCTTTGGTAGTAAAGATCAGTAACAGCAAGTCCTCACCACTGTAAGAATAATTAGCACATACGGAGACAGGAGGGGATCCTCTGGCTGAAGATTATCACAAAAAGAACAGAATGCCGTCATTTTTAGAGGGGCTAAGGCTTTTCCTTTGAAAGACTGGACAAATACAGAATATAATAGAAGTTTCCTTATCCAAAGGCAACTGCAAGTTCTGGGCCTGAATTGTAAGGCAGATGAAAGCTGGAATTGATTTGGCCATAGAACAGTTCCCTACCCTGTCCCCCTATTTCCTAATTTTTATGGGCATTTGGGTTCACAGAAACATATTGGTAAGAGGACTAGTACTTGTTTTGAAATAATTCCACCGACTTCCCTAGTGAAATCTGCATGCACTAAACAACCACAGGAGTCTGCCAGAATGGTAGGAGGGCCTAGGTTTTGCTCCTCTTCCTACCCCCTGTTCTAAGGTGTACAGAACCAGGACTGAATCTGTAAACACAGGTTTCATTTCCAGCAGTCTCTTTTTGCTGCATAAATTTGAATAAGCTTGTTACCTCACGTACCTGATTCTAATGGCATTTCTTTTGCAATTCAGATAAACTATTTTAAGGGATTTTTGATTAAAAAAATGGTATTGGGTCTTTCCACTTAACAGCTATAACCTTTAAAATGGTCTTGAGGCAAGAAAAAGGCAAATGGAACCCAACATAAAAATATTTTTTTTTTTTTAAAAAAAGAGTAATACTGAGCCCATCTCTGCTATAGATATCTACTACAAATACAGATTTTTTTTCCTAGAGTACTTCAGACAGCAGCATATAGACAAATTATGCTGGAAAAAATGAAATTGACACATTAGGCTTAAATTATCACTCTTATTCTAATACAATGAACATAAAGGATAATGACTATATCACAAAGCAAAAATGCTAAGTAAGTTTTTAGTAATAACAAAATTCATGCTTCTCACCTTGTAAGTATTGATCTTTCAAATGACAAAATGGACCCAAATAGATTAAATTGTCAGGCTTATAAGGATTTTAAAAAAAAGCACAGTACCTTTTATTTTACTCAAAACTTTGATTTACTAGAAAGAAACCTCACCCAAATAGTTTCTTTTTAAACCCCACAGCAACATGACTGCTGTTTACTTCACAAGCCATAGAAGAGACTCAACTAGAAATTAAAAAGTGAACTTAACTTTGAAAGTGAACTTGCTCATTTTATGGATTACAGCACTAAATACTGTCACATTACCAGAAAAAGTAAACAAAAAAAAAATGTTTATCGTTAAAAAGGAAACAAAATCCCTAGTGCTTAAAATCTGAATTTTATTTAGTAAGGTAACACACCTGAAAAGTCACAGAATACCAGTTCAAAAAAGTCACCAGTTACAAAAATTGTCACAATCTTTGTGATCTTTAAGTCTAAGGCACCCTCCAGCGTTTGAAGAAGAAATTACACTTCTAGCAAATGAGCAAGCATTTGAAAAACGGCATGAGCAACTCTTCCTGTCAAGATAGAAGCTCCCTGATTCATTCGCAATAATTGTGTATGATCACACATCAGTAATATGACAAAGCCATGATGTAAAAAAAAAAAAATTGTAAAATTACTTTTCATGGATTTGTATTGGATTTATGAAGGTTATATAAAGGGATGTCTTTAAGCACACTAATTTGAAAAATACAGTACAGTGTGCAAAATATTACAAAAGCATTTCTTACAAAGTCTGGTACTGATAAGTGATAATTCCTCACAGAATATGATCTCTTGTTTATACAGCTTGTTTAAAACGTAATTTTAAGGAGCCTAAACTAATAGTTTATTTAACAGGAGATAGGCCCATGGTAAGGAAGAGGAAAACCAATGTACCTGGAAGCAAAACCACGTACAATTAGAAAAGCCACTTTTTAATTAATACCATACAAAACAGGAAGCCCCCATGTATACAGCCACATCCATGAAAGTTTACTGATTTTAGGTAAAAAAAAAAAAGTAATTTTTGCATTAGTATCTTTGTTCATTCTAAAAGTAACAAGTTAAGATGTTTTCAGTACTTGTCATTGAAGTAGAAAAACATTTATGTCTACAGGACAGATAAAACTGCCTGCTGAAAGGACAGTGTTGTAATTTAATTTTATTAGCTAGGTCCACACAAATGATTTTAAAATCACTAAAACAGAATGAAGTCTGTAAACCAAAACTTCTTCACCTTTGATTATGCACAAACTAACATTACTTGTGGATTTCTCTTGTGGCATTTAACACTTTGAGACCGCACCTTGTTCATACTTCCACAATCAAACAAAACCTTACATACAGTTTAAGTGGTAATGAGATAACATGCTTTGAAATATATGTTAAGTGACTGCAAAGTGGTTAGTTCTTGATTAAGGAAAACTTATTTACTTAAAAAAAGTTCTTGTTTTATGCATGTGTTTAGAATTTAAAGTGTATAAATCCATTGAATTAGTGCTTCAAGTATCTTTCTTCATTAGGGACTGATGTAAGAATGTGTATCTATTTCTGAACTAAGTCTTTACCCTCCTGGACTCACCCTTACAGGGCTATGTGCAAAACTGCTAGGGCAACAAATGGATTTTCATCCTGTACACTCGGGCCAATTACTTAATAATCGATTCAATTTCAGTTTCATAAAGTTTGAGAGTTTTTTTCCCCCCCGAACTGAAAACTTTGTCTCTTATTTACTACAGAGCTTAGTTATCTTAACTACGGTTGGAGAAGCAAAAATTGATTACCTTGTGATTTAGTAAAAAAGTGACATTTGGTCAGTGCCACACTTCAGAATTAAAAAGAGTTCTGTCAGGGGAAATGGCTGATGTCACTTCTCCCTAGCATAGTTGAAGACATCTTTTCAAAAACTGACTATATTGACCAAAAATCTTAGAATGAATATTAAAAATATTACAAATAAACCTAGCCAGGGGATGCAAAAAGAGGTAGAAAACATTTCAGATGAAAGTACACAAGATAAATATATTTACATATAGATACATATAAGTATAAAAACATTAAAAACCAGCCATCACCCCCATAAAACTTACAACTCTGCTTAACTTCACACGTTCCAAATATTTACACTGACTTCAAAAAGAGCCACAATAGGGTGCAAAATTAAGCATGACTTTACATATTTTGCAGAGTAAGTAATACAGCATTATAAAAATCACTTTGTTCAAATTCTGGCTCTTTTAAACAACTTTTTGTATGCTTTCATTTAGTGATGTTCCTTTTTGCAATAGCTTCTCTGATTTGACGATCAAGTTCACTTACAATATGGTCTTCATGATTATATACTCCTGTTCTCAAGAGGGTATCCCTCTCTTCTATCAGACGAGAGAGATAATCATCCATATTCTCATTTAATTTTCTAGAGTGAAGACTATCCACTCTACCAACAGAATTATCTCTAACATCTTGCAATTGCTTTCTTTCTTCTTCTTGTTGCTTTAGCCTGATGTTGATAAAATGGAAAGAATCAGAGGATGAGCCATATTAAAAACTGCCCTGGCTATTTTCATATTAAGTCTTTAAGTTATTTACTTAATCTACTCAAGTAGTTAGTAAAATAAAGAAATCTATAAAAGGTAACAAACTATCCTCTCTCTAGGGAAAAAGAACTATAAGTAAAAGAATTGTTAATATACTACTTAAATTCTAACAATACCTTTTCTATGTGCACACATAACTATAACACTTGCTACCAAGGCTCCAATTTTGATAATGCAAACAGCACTCAAATTAAAAGGGTTCAACATACAGAACTATCGTGGACAGTTTTTGGAGGACAACATTAGATAGATTTAAAATTGTGATGTATTAAAAATACAAATAGTATGCGCCTCTCTTCTTAATGCAGCAGTTATCCTTAAAACCGAAGGTTTAAAATAGAAAAAAGCCTGGTGCTGTACAACTACAACCATAATAAAAACCACTGTGGCCTTAAACATAGATTTTTCTATATGACAATACTGTTGCGTTTTACAAATGTGCAATTTTTACCTAAGGGACCACATAATCTTGATTTTACCAAACCTTCTTCTGTTTTGAGGCAGACAGCATGAAAAGAGGGAGGAAGC